TCTGCTGTATGTATCTATATAAATATAATAGTACTGTCTGTTGTCTATATAAACATAACAGTACTGTCTGCTGTATGTATCTATATAAATATAATAGTACTGTCTGTTGTCTATATAAACATAACAGTACTGTCTGCTGTATGTATCTATATAAATATAATAGTACTGTCTGTTGTATGTATCTATATAAATATAATAGTACTGTTTGTTGTCTATATAAATATAACAGTACTGCCTGCTGTATGTATCTATAGAAATATAATAGTACTGTCTGTTGTCTATATAAATATAATAGTACTGTTTGTTGTCTATATAAATATAACAGTACTGTTTGTTGTCTATATAAATATAATAGTACTGTTTGTTGTCTATATAAATATAACAGTACTGCCTGCTGTATGTATCTATAGAAATATAATAGTACTGTCTGTTGTCTATATAAATATAATAGTACTGTTTGTTGTCTATATAAATATAATAGTACTGTTTGTTGTCTATATAAATATAACAGTACTGTTTGTTGTCTATATAAATATAACAGTACTGTTTGTTGTCTATATAAATATAATAGTACTGTTTGTTGTCTATATAAATACAATAGTATTGTGTACTGTTTGTTGTCTATATAAATACAATAGTATTGTGTACTGTATGTTATATATATAAATATACTAGTACTGTCTGTTGCCTATATAAATATAACAGTACTCTCTGCTGTATGTAGCTATAGAAATATAATAGTACTGTTTGTTGTCTATATATATATAATAGTACTGTATGTTGTCTATATAAATATAATAGTACTGTCTGTTGTCTATATAAATATAATAGTACTGTTTGTTGTACCTGATGATGACAAACCCTTGTCGAAACGTTAAATGGGTAATGAAGAAAAACTTTAATATAAGTTTAACATGACAGCAAATGTACAAGGCCGTCTCCAGCCATTATTAACTTATATTTACGTTTTATGATATAAAAATACAAAAGATTAACAAATATATGCACCCTAGCGGTGCAGCCTGAGAATTGAACTCATGTGAAGACTAAACAATCAGAAGTCATTTGATTTGTTTAAACGGTTGATACGTTCTTAGTATTTTAATTTTCACTGGCTTTTTATTATTGTGCTCAATATGGTAAAGTTAACTCCAGAACTAATAGAATTGTCTGCTCAATATGTAAATCCAGTTAGAGATCGTGAATTAAATCTTAGAGGTAATTGTCTCTTGCTCTAACTTGAGTTTAATTTTTAGTACTGTAATACTAGCGTAATGCTAGTAACTTGCTTAAGCCTAACTTTGGGCTAAGATGCTACATTAATCATTTAATGTCACTATAGCGTGGTGTGACAGTAAGGACTATCATTGTTTTATTCATTAAAATTATCATTCATAACTTCCTGTTTCTAGTTTTCGAAACAGAAAAATATGAACGATTAGCCTAACTATTTTACTTCATACTTGTAATGCTCAATTAGTATTATTGTTCTCGCATTAATATTGAACAGGAACTCGCGTCATAGTACTACTAATACTAAATTACCATATTAATTATATAATACAGTGTCACAAGTGAGTTCATTTATTACTAATACTAGTGATTTTGACTGCTAGTATTAGTATTATTTTAACTTGTAACGCCATGCTGTACTTATTATCTGAATCTTAAAAGTTAAATACATACCTGAAGACAGACCAATGTTGTGTCAAAACATCGTATTTTCCCCCAAAATAAATTACTTCATTATACTTACTAATCATAATTTGCCAACTTGTTACAAGTGTGGAACATTGTTGAAAATTAAGCTACTGTCACCTGCAAGTTGCAGTATAATTCATCATGAACCATTGAACAGTGAGTCACTTAATGCTTGTAAAAGTATGTTGTTTAATTTGAGAATAATAATGAAATTAAAGAATTGAAGTAATCAGTTGAATAGATCTACATGTGATATTTGAGTTCCTAAATGTTAGGAAGACCTAAAAATAACAGAATTCTGTCCTCATAACACAAGTGACATTCATTGATATAACTGGAAGTGTAGGCGTAGGCATTTGTTCATGTGGGAGGGTTTACTGCATACAATTGTGGTGATTTTTGTCTGCTGATGAGAATGTCAAGAAATGGTAGGCTTTGTTCCTATATTGCCATGATGGAGTGGATTCTTTTGTCTATAGAATGAAGATGTTCTAGGAAAGATGGTAAGTTTTCATGACCGTAGGGCTAGATAACGAAGGTGTCGTCAGTTAGGAAAGGTGGTAAGTTTTCATGACCGTAGGGCTAGATAACGAAGGTGTCATCAGTTAGGAAAGCTGGTAAGTTTTCATGACCATAGGGCTAGATAACGAAGGTGTCGTCAGTTAGGAAAGCTGGTAAGTTTTCATGACCATAGGGCTAGATAACGAAGGTGTCGTCAGTTAGGAAAGCTGGTAAGTTTTCATGACCATAGGGCTAGATAACGAAGGTGTCGTCAGTTATGTGTGGATGAGAGGGATCATTCTTCGAAGTCTTGAAAATGTCTGCTAGGATTGGAGAGAGTGGTGATCCCATGGCTAGACCATCTGTTTGTTTGTAGAATTCCTCGTTGTATTGGAAATAAGTTGGTTGTAGGCAAATAGTTGCTAGTTCCATGATGGCATGTATCTTCATGTCGGTTTTGTGTGGTAGAGAGTTGTCATTCAGCAGTCGATGTCTGGTGATACGAAGGGTTTCCGAGGTTACAACATTTTTAACTATATTGTATACAAATATTTGTAATTGAGAAACTAAGTGAATGTTTTAAAGTTTAAATTACAAAATTGGATATTAATTAACAAATTAAGACTAGAAACAAGAGTTTTAGTATATTTGATGAATTACTTTCTACATGACACAAGGCTGCCATATTGATTGGAGATAGTCATACTTCAGTGACATGCTGTGAACATATCTCAGTTTAGCTAGCCAAACTATTTTGTTGATAGAAAAATACAATACAAATTAACTTTTATTGTCCAGTTCTGTAAACAAAGAGTCGAGATATGGCATCGTCCAGCTAACAGCCCCCTCAAACTGTTTGATTGGGGGCTATTATATTCTTCATGCATTTCAAATGTAAAGGACTGATATCCAATACCAACATCACATGACTGCTTTTGATGCAAAAGATTGGACGTGTTAGAAATGAACAACACATCTGTATATAATATAAATAGTTTGATCTGTAATTTTTCTTTTATACTTCCAAATCTGAGCAAGAAATTCATAAATAGTCTCCTTTTTTCTCAACATCATAAAGTTGACAAATTGGAAGTTGTAAGCCTATAATTCATTGGTGTGTGTTACTAACTGTTCAATAGTGTTTTCAATCTCCCCTTTTTTCAATTTGCAGGTTACAAGATACCAGTTATTGAAAATCTTGGAGCAACATTAGTAAGCTCTTTCCTGTAATATTTTATAAAATATCTGAGTTTGTCTTGTTTCTGTTGTATGCAGTATTGTATTTTATTATTTAAAAACATAAGTTTCAATGAAGTACAATATATATTTGAGACAAATTTGGAAACAGGTTTTTTTTCCTTCACAAATAAAGATGTGGTTATCAGTTCCAAGAATTGATGCCTTACTATTTGTAGTAACAAATTCCTGTATTGATTATTATCTAAATACGATATGTAGCCTGTTATGATTTTATTTATTTTAAACAAAAGTAACTGAAATGTAAAAATTATATACTTCAGAGATTAGCCAATGAAAAGCTCATTAAAATAAAACATCTAAGTTGTCTAAGGTGAAGATGAATCCTAACCTGCCACAGTTTCTATATTTGTCCCCTAATCCTATGGTTCCCCGTTATATGTCGTGATGCATTCCTAGAAAGTGGGACTTACAAGATGTCAAGCAACACAATCTTTACGTGTATCATGGGGACGGTTCCTTCCTGAAAAATTTCAGACCACTCTTGAATGACTTTTTTTAAAGGGTGTAACTTGGCTTTTTTAACAACAGTGTACTATACAAAACATGCATGTAAGAATGTTAAACAACAGGGTACTATACAAAACATGCATGTAAGAATGTTAAACAACAGGGTACTATACAAAACATGCATGTAAGAACATTAAAGGACAAAACAGTTTAGTGTCAAAGTTCATTGTTTTTCTGGACTTGGCAAGGTTCACTTTACTGTCACTAGGTGACTGGTTTGCAGCCACGTTGGAAGGGTGTAAACAAGGTTTTTCTGCAGCAGAATGAATAATGTGTTCAGACAACGGCACGCGAACACAATGTGTTTACATGCTCCACTCTCTTGGCCAGTGGACGACATATCACACTCCATCCGGTAAACTAGTCCGACAACGTTGGCATGCTCTAATAATAGAACACGACAAGGTTGCTTCACACACATATTGATAGTATAGTGCTGTACAGTAATTGACGAACACTACGCCTGGTAAAGTAGTTTGACAACGTTAGCATGCTCTAACACTAGAACACGACAAGGTTGCTTCACACACACATTGGTAGTACAGTGCTGTACAGTAATTGACGAACACTACGCCCGGTAAAGTAGTCCGACAATGTTTTAACACTAGTAATGAAGCAAGGCAACATTGTTTTAAAAATACTGGTAGTAATTGGTAAATTCTACACCTGGAAAAGTAGTCTGACATTGGAACACTAGTAACAAAAGGCAATGTTGTTTGATACACAGTAGTAATTGTTGAACACTAATAATGAAATGACCCAGAATAATGCAACATATAATGGGGACCCAGTGTACTTTTATCATTACAATAATAACAGTTTAGTCTACCGTTAAAACTATCTTTGTACCATGTTCCTACATTTTATTTTATTTTCATCGTTCTGGTCCTCTCCACTGTCTAATCCTAGTTTAAATTTGCCCTTATGGTAGAACTAATAGCCCTTGCAAGCAATTCAATATCTACCTATCACTGCTAGCACTCTTTACTCGCTCTGTTGGTTATATCTTTTCTCTCTGTTTACCCCACAGAATAACCTATCCATGTGCCATACTAGAGAAAGATCTTTCTTCTTAGTTTATATAACTCGCAGGAGTGTAACATAACTGAAAAGCTATGTCAAAAAACAGTGTTACAAAATATGCATAACTTAACTTACCTCAGTTATTATATTGGCATGAATATATCTTGGATATGTGACATAACTTGATGGGACTTGCTTTGCTTTCTCTCATTTAACTATCCTACAGTCTATTTTAGTTGTCTTTATCCAATCCCAACCAGTGTTGTTATCTTTGTGTAGCACCTTACCAGAAGATCTTAAGTACATCAAGCCTACGCATTTACCATCATCTTCATAACTCACAAAATCCTTGAGAAAAGTTAACAGATTACTGTAATTAGTGAAAGATAATTCCATTTAGTGAATTCTTGTTGATTTTATTTTATGATGCTATATGATCTTCTAAAGTTGTAATTTGTCCTACTTCAGTAAGACTAACTAGTCTATTATTGTTATGGTAACTCTTATGAAACTCTTATATATATATAATAATAAAAAAAAAAAAAAAAAAAAAAAAAAAAAAAAAAAAGGAAAGTTATATTAGCAACTCTAGTTCTCAGTCATGTCCAGTTTTTACCAAAAATGGAAAAGAGGCTTCTGATCTTTGGACGTCTTCAAAATCTAGGGGGGAAAATATTTTCTGGTCCTGGTGATTTAGCTATTTTTAAATACTCTATCATAAATATCTACATGATTTTGGGCAATCCCATTATTTCTTATACAATGGCCAGGAATATTGCTAAGGTCCTCTCTTATGAAAAAAATAGAATATTTAAAAGCTTAGCCTTCTCATAATCTTCAACTAAAACCATGCTATCAAGATCCTTTACGAACCGAATCCCCATTTTAATGTTTTGCTTACCTTTGACATACTTTTAACAAATTTTGCTGTTGGTTTTAACATTGTAAGTCAGCTGCTTTTTGTAAGTCTTTTGAATTTTTTTTATTTTACCAAATTCATAGTTTCCCTGTTGTCCTGTGAATATTCCATCCTGTCTGTTAATGTTAACATTTTAAACTTGTATTGTTTCTTCTTGATTTTCTCATTTGACATAAGTAAACCAGTTAGGTTTGATCTTCCCTGTTGTCCCTGTAGTAAACGAGTCAGGTTCGATCTTCCCTGTTGTTCTTTAGTAAACCAGTTAGGTTTGATCTTCCCTGTTGTTCTGTAGTAAACCAGTTAGGTTTGATCTTCCCTGTTGTTCTGTAGTAAACCAGTTAGGTTTGATTTTCCCTGTTGTCCTTTAGTAAACCAGTTAGGTTTGATCTTCCCTGTTGTCCTTTAGTAAACGAGTTAGGTTTGATCTTCCCTGTTGTCCTGTAGTAAACCAGTTAGGTTTGATCTTCTCTGTTGTCCTGTAGTAAACAGTTAGGTTTGATCTTCCCTGTTGTCCCTGTAGTAAACCAGTTAGGTTTGATCTTCCCTGTTGTCCTGTAGTAAACCAGTTAGGTTTGATCTTCTCTGTTGTCCTGTAGTAAAACAGTTAGGTTTGATATTCCCTGTTGTCCCTGTAGTAAACCAGTTAGGTTTGATCTTCCCTGTTGTCCCTGTAGTAAACCAGTTAGGTTTGATCTTCCTAAACCTGTTCCATTGTAACTCATCTCATGGTTCTGAATAATAGTGTACAATATCTTAATCTGTATTGTATTGGTATTATGTAGAAATCTTACACATTAATGTAAAATTGGACATTTTTGCTTTAGGACCAGTTTGACACCATTGATTTATCAGACAACGACATCCGCAAAATTGATGGTTTTCCTCTCCTTCAGCGGTTGAAAACTTTACTCATCAGCAATAATCGAATATGGTAGGTTTAGTGTTAACATTTTTAATACAGCGAGTAGTTTGTAAGCAGCTTGTTTGTTAACCATAATTACTACTATGTAATATTAACTTCAGATCAAAGCAAGCTACCTATATATAGATCATAACAAAATAATAAACCAACTAATTAAATATACTGTTCTATCACTTGTATATCCTTGCTGTTTGCAATATCGTTGGCCATAATCCCAACAATATCTCATGAGGTTTGTTAGCTTAGGAGAGTCATGAATCTATATGAGCCAACAATACAAAATAATTGCTGTAATAGAAATATGTTGATAAAAAGAAGTACACAGTAAAACAGATATATTTGATATTCTAATGCAGACTGTTAATGAAAGTAACATTAAAGAACAAAGAACACCTTACTTATGGAACACATAAATACTACTGGTTTGTTTCATGTAATATCCCAGATTTAATTTTTCTTTTAAGAATGTCACAATTCCTGGTAACCTTTTTTTTTTTTTTTTAATTTTTAAAACTATCAGAACTATCACCTGCAAACCCACCTTCAGTTTTAGAAAGTAATTTTTTTAAGTGGTACAGTCTCTATTTTCCCTAGTGGTCAAAACCATATTTAATATTGTTATGTTTTTGTATTAAAGTAAGTGTATGTTTAAAATTTCATACTTATTCGCTCAACCAGTCTTAAGAGGCACTGTATTGGCACATATTTAAATTTGTTTGATTTTATTATAGATGTATCTTTATCTTTAACACCTTTTTTATTCTATAGATAACTGAGCATTCTCCAGTTTAGAAGTTATGCAAGAATTCTGTTTTCTTAATTTATGATAGTTCAAAGTATTCAGAATTTAGATTTTTATAAAGTATTTCATTTTGGGGATTATTTATAGTACGCTGTTCTCTGTATATTCTAATAACCAGTCCAGGTACCAGTTAAGAATTAATCACAAATTTAGTTATTTGTTTAAATGTTGATATTAGAAAATTAACTAAGGATAACTTGAGACTGAGAAAGTTGATAAAATTAAACATTTTACACACGCACGTATTAATGAGAAATTTTTATTATGTTATAATTATAATTGAAGTTCCTGAGTTTTTTCAGAGTTACAATTTTTGTTTTTGTTCTAACTTGTAGTGTTTTGATGATTTTGTTTTTTTTTAGTCGTATAGCAGAAAACCTTCATGAAGCATTACCACGTCTAGAAAGTTTGGTCCTAACCAACAACCATATTCAAGAACTGGGTGATATTGATCCACTTAGTACAATCAAAACTCTCACATCTATCAGGTATCTAACCCAAAATTATTATTTTATTGGAGATTGTGATATATATTTATTACATGAGAAATATCAGATTTACCCAAAGTGACTAGTGTTACCCACATGACTGACCATTCTCATTCAACAAAAAGGAGGCCATGCCATCCAGTTATCATCTGCTCTATAAGGTACCAGGGATGAGCATTGTTATTGCTGACCTTCTTGCATGATATGCAACATTACAGCAATGGTTCTGTGGGTGAAACAGGTATTATCTTTATGGAATAACAAAGGAACAAAGGTAGATATAATGAAGTTAATGGCTTCTGAATCACTTGTTCTACGAAATTTGAATAGACTCGGATTAAACGAAAATATTTCTATTACCACTAGTCTCCCATCAGTATCGGTAGATATCTTGGGAATATTTAACTTGTATTTCCTATTCCTTGTCCTTCCTTATGAAACTCCCAAGACTCCAAAAAGATTCACACTCAAGACTAAGAAAACATTCTACTGGTTTAAAATCAATATATGAAGATAAATGGGTTTCTTGTACAAAATGATAATAAATATAGAAATCGTGCAGATCTCTGTTTGAGACTCTTAATGTTAATTAAAACAATAAATTGGAGCAGATTATGGCTCACTCTTATCACTTAAAAACCTCAGAAGAATTTCTTAAAACTCCATAATATGCTAAAGAAAACTAGAGAACTATAGTAAAGGTGCTGAATCCTAAACATTTTAGATATTTGTAACCAAGATCCTGTACACTTTAGATAACTATAAAGTCTGATAAATATCTTAATTCTTCAAAATTACATACATGAGTTATTTTATAGAAATATTGAAAAGCTCTATGTAACTTTGCCCATTGGAAGGACCTACTGTGATAGTGATAAACATGTGGCAAGTTTTTTTTTTGTTATATTCTTTATTATTCTAGTTACGTTCATTTGGAGCCTAGTAATAACATCAATGCTATATCTCGGATACGCTTGGTTCCATTATCTGGATACCTAAGTTCGTACACCTTATGTTGTTCTTTCATTGAAATGCAAAAAAAATAATACTGGGTATACCGAAATTATCAAAAAATCAAACACAATAAAACAAAGCGTGAATTGGGGCCAAAACTTTACAGAATTGTAACTAATGATATTGAGTTTCTTGGCACCAGTTGGCCGATCATTTACACCAGCACCAACATGGTGCCATGTAAAGATAAGTGTGTGATTCTCTGTTTAAAAGTGTCCTCTCACTACAACGTCTGCCAAGCTTGCAACAACTGACGTATAAGAGAGTAACTGCGTGTGTTGTAACTCGAAACCGCTATTTATAGTGATGCAGAGGTTTGGCATTGTTACGTTTGGGTTATGAAGTTTCGTACTTGCTGGAATAGTTTAAATGTGAAAAAAATTGTTACATATAAATCTAAATAAAATTATTAAAATCAAATATATTAAGCAGTAATGTGTAAAGGAAAAAAAGTTTGTTACTTTCTAATTGTTATTTCTACACCCTTAAAGACGGATCTTTGTTTTTAAAGTCAACATTTAAGAATTGTTGACCATTCTGAACAAAAACACGGTGTGTAGCTAACAAGGTTCTTTATATTTTTATATTTTGTTAACTCGTCGAAATGACGAGTTAAATTTGACAACCCAATTAGCCGCCACTTTCTTGTTAACTTATTCATAGATCGTACAGTAGGGGTTTAAAAACAGTGCATATCATGAACACATGGATAATAAAAAACCTCTGTACATTTGCCATTTGATTAGTTCGGGAAAAAACAACAATAAATCCATCTACTCCGAATTCCTTCTCGCACCAATTCAGACAGCCTGTTCACACTTTTCTCTAGCCTACAGTTGGTCTCACCAGAACTTAACTATATAATTAGAACGTTGTGAGATACACAGGATGAATTACCACGTGAAGTATGAGAAATGCAGCCTGAACCATGGTTGTCGATCGGAACACACTGTGGATCAGTTTTTGTTTGCAGGTAGAATGTGTTGTATAATCTATGCATCTTTCTACTTTTAACCCTCTGTTATCATATAATACATTGGAAACATTTTTATCTCTGAATTTCTACTCTTATCATAAAAACTATTTAAACATATTAATAAAGTAATTATTACATCAGTTTGGTGAAGAGGTCAGTTACTGCAATAATGATATCGAATATAGAATAATGAGATGGATATTAATCCTACATAATTTCTGTTACTTAGTCGTAAATCATAATGTGCGTTTAATGTTCAGTGTTATGACTTGTCAAAGTATAGAATGTTACACGATCGTTAATTGGATATATATGTGGGGGAGGGGGTTAAAGTACATGCATACTTTGTATGTTGTACGATATGCAGTCATTAATTGGGTACAGAAGAGACCTGCAATAAAAAAAATCAGACTTGATTTGTCTCTCTTCTTTGTTTGATATTTTAGTCGTGTTTTGTTTTTTTTTAACACTTGTACAGATTTACGGTGGTCATGACTGCTCCTCTGTTGGCAAAGTTGGTGAAAGGAGTTTCTTTTTTTTTGTAAATGATTGAAAATTTTCTGCAACCATCCATGTGTTGCATTTTACGTTTATTTCCGAGTGTTATTGCTCGGTGCTTATTAAAAATCTTTGTACTTTAACTGGCCCTAGTATCGTAAATGAGAATTTTTCAAACAATTGCTTATTATAGTAATTCTATTTAATATTTAATTCATGCAAGTTTAGTATATTTGTGCCCTTGGTGGTAAGATCAAGGAGTTTTTAGATTGTGGTCATGGATTTTTATTCTTACAGAATGGGAAGAAAAGGTTATTTCTAGTAATTATACTAAGTTACTGTGATTACAGTTTATTTTATATTTCATTAAATTGAGACTTAAAAACACGAGTGCCATCTTTGTTACATATAGTTAGAGGAAACCGTTTTAATGTATTCTAATCAAAAGTTATTTATAATTTGTTACATTTTGACGTGTTTATTTATAACTTCTGATTCAAAGTTAACTGTACAGATTAAAAGTCAGAAAATAGAACCTTTGAACTCACGAAGCCTACTTTATAAACTCGCAAGAAATCCATGATTTTATTAATCTTCAAGTCGTTGAAAGGTATTTACATTTTGTTTATTTATTATTAATTTTCGTCTATTTTAGTCTGCTGAGAAATCCCGTGGCTACCAAGAAGTACTACAGACTCTACTTAATACACAAACTCCCACAAGTCAGACTAATAGACTTTAGAAAAGTGAAACAGAAAGTAAGTCAGGCCTAACGGTGTGTTTTATGTGTAGTTCAAAGTGCCGTACAGGTTCATAGAAAATGGATAAAATAAGCGTATACTTTTATCGAGTAGTTTGATACCTGAATGTTGTTATTGCGGGCTCTAAGTTACGAATATCGCGTGCCTAAACCATCAGAACATGAGACGAGGGTACGTTGTATGTAGTATGAAGCAGTGAAAGTAAAGTAAATGTAACATTGTAATCGTCTCCAAATTTTGCAGGTTATGATGTAGAAATTTCCATAGCTATTGTAAAATAAAACTTAATATTTAAGAAAAGAATAAGCAGTTGTTCTGTTTTTCTACACAAGCGTATTGATAAATGTTTGATGTAGGTCATTGTAAGACATGTATTTGCAAAGATAAAAGTAAGCATTGTTTTATTGGCCCGCATTAGGAGAAAAACAGTTGAGTGTACTATAGTACATTGTTTGAATATTAAAGTATTGTAAAAATGGATTGCATGGAAACAATAGTATATCATTTCCCGTTAATGCGACGTGAACAGCGTTGGCTCACTGGACCGACCCCATACCTATGAACCTGTTAATCCTGCGTGAACAACATTGGTTCATTGGACTGACCCCATTCCTATGAACCAGTTAATCCTGCGTGAACAGCATTGGTTCACTGGACTGATCCCATTCCGATAAACCCGTTAATCCTGCGTGAACAACATTGGTTCACTGGACCGACCCATACCTATGAACCCGTTAATCCTGCGTGAACAGAGTTGCTTCACTGGACCAACCCCATTCCTATGAACCTGTTAATCCTGCGTGAACAGAGTTGCTTCACTGGACCGACCCTATTCCTATGAATAGCAACGATTACTTCAATTCCAAATATATCATGCGTATCTTCACCAAAGTGGATAAATTCTTACGAAAGTTATCTATTGGACTCAAAACATTAGATTTCTAATGAAGTATCTTTACTAAACTTACAGTTTCTTATTTCACTTGCATACCCTCTATAAACTCCCGAATGATTGTTATAAAACTTTGTCTCTTATTTTGTTTACCCTTAAACTAACTATAGCAACTATAGTTGAAAAATCAAAAATGACTTCTTTTTTTTTTTTCTGAACGAAAACAAATTGTAACAGATGATTACATCTGTTTATCTTTAACACTCTCATGTTCATAATAGTTTAACATCTGCTTTCATTTAATTTTAATGTTTAACTGCCTCTTTGAACCATGTCTAACTAACGTTAAAAATAATCATTAAATCACCCTGAATGGACTTAGGATAAACAAGTTATCAATTTATATCACTCAGCGGCAGCCTGTCGTACGAATTCTTTGAGGATGATTTTTTTTTCATTTCAATTTTATTATCTAGCCTACTAAGTTTCTAATTTTTAAAATTTAGTTACATTTCATTAAAAAATTTATGTAATAATAATAAGTAAAAAATCTACATAAAAACAAGAAATTTAGCACTTTAGCTTTAGTCTTTTAGCACTTGGTTACGTGGCTTAGTAAGCCTATTTCTTTCTCACTGGGTTATTGTTCAAAAATAATTCATGTAGCTTTCAAAAATTTATTTTAGAACATCAAAAATATATCGGAAACTCGATAGAATATCCCCAAACTACCAAATTTATCGGGCTTTTTAACTAACCTATACCGGCCGAGCATGGCCAGGTGGTTAGGGTGCTCGACTCAAAATCTGAGGGTCGTGGGTTCGATTCCCCGAACCACCAAACATGCTCGCCCTTTCAGCCGTGGGGGCGTTATAATGTGACGGTCAATCCCACCATTCGTTGGTAAAAGAGTAGCCCAAGAGTTGGTGGTGGGGACTAGCTGCCTTCCCTCTAGTCTTACGCTGCTAAATTAGGGACGGTTGGCGCAGATAGCCCTCGTGTAGCTTTGTGCGAAATTCCAAACAAACAAACTAACGTATAAATAGATTGTTTATAAATAAATTCCATTACTGGTCGGAGGGAGTGTCACTGTGGGTTGAAATACTATAGCGATGTCTCGGTAAAGAAATAAGATCAGAAGTTAATGTTTTATATTCTGGCTTGTAAATATCTATTGTGTGTGTTTCTGATTGGTTCTAAAGGACGAGAAAAGGTTTAAATCAGAAGTTTCGGTGCCACCTCGTCACCTCATTCAGAGGTGCAAATTGAGAATTTATCTAAATATTTTGTTTTGAAATTAAGAAATTACAACTTAGATAATATAAAATTTCAATTGATAGACTACATTTTGATGCCAAGTTCATTAAAGTATATCGATAATAAAGTAGCTTAATTAAATTTTGAATGTAACTGTGGAAAAGGTCACTTTGAACCCACTGTTCTCGTACGGTCAAGCTATTTTAATAGTACTTGTAGCATGGAGTTGGTATGACATGATCCTAGCACAAGCAAAAAGAAAGTTTGAAATTGAAATTTGTCTATCTATTTTGAATTCTTTCATTGGCAAGTGTTACGTGCAGTAATGAAT